TTTCTAAAATCCTTTCGGTTCTTAAAATAGTAGAATGAGGCAAGAAAGGGGCATGAAATCTGTCCCTGATGCCTGGATTTCAGCACGTCTCCCGTTTCGACGACTGCGTTGAATTTGGCCAGCGGGACCACGCGGCACTAAGACTAATTACGATGAGAGAGTTTGACGGCGTCGTTCCCACCTGTGTCCGCACCTCATTCACTGATACACAATAAGAGTTGCTTTGAAAGCTGTCGGGCAGCAGCATTTTTAAGCCAAACTGAAACAGAGCGCTCTGCTCACAGTACTTACTGGAACTGACAAACATAAAGAAGATTATTTTGCGAGACTAAGTCCTGGGCTTGGGGATCTGTTAAAAATCAATCAGTTGGCTCAATTAAGGGTTCAATCAGCTTAAATGATTAAAAAGCTCAGTTTTGGAATGAGACCCAAAGACACAGGGGTACTTCAAGGCCAGGACTACAAAAATGTCACTCAGTGTGGGGGAAAGCACGAGTACTTCCGGTGCACTTGCGCTGTCCACCACTAGGGGGCAGAGCATCCCTGAAATCGGCCTGTGTGAGGCTGTAGGCAGTGCTATGCCCTTGCCATACTGATGAACAGGACGACAAAGGATATGGGTGTCTGCTAAGCGTATAATATCGACAAGAACCCTCCTGAGTTGTGTGTGCTACAGGTCACGGCCAAGCACTTAATGTAAGAAATGTCAAGTTCAAATTCTTGAGTAATTAGTCCTCCTTTGGGGGTGACTTGGAGGACATCATAACGATAATTCTAACAACAAGCATCCTAGTAAGATCTTAAATCTTTTAAGGACAATTCGCGAGCACGCCAGGATCGACAAACCTGCCACTACTTAATTTTATTGTACTGTCGGGTGTATAATTAAAAAAGGCTTACAGCTGGCGGCCCGTTCTTCAAAATTAATATGTTTTCCACAGCCAGGCACCCGTGCTCGTATCGGCTATAAGGACTGTGTCCTGCAGAGTTGGCGATCGATTCCCTGAACCGGCCTTAAGGCGTGCTGGGCCCTCCAACCCTGTGCCGTGCAAACCAGCCCAAAGCAGAGCTTGCAACTCGGGACGCTTGTCACCTCTACGAGAGTGAGCACCCACATTCCCAAATCCCACGTTTTATCCTCTCTGTCGGGGGGCGTCCCAGCCGGGGCCCCGTTTTTCACAGGGCGACCTCGCAGCCGCTCCGCCACTGTCGATCCAACGAAGTGACCAGGGAACCCATCTCCTGGCCCGGTTCATTTCCAGTCGTTTATTTTATAGTCCCCGAAAAGCTTGAAAAGTCGCCTCGCTTGTTTTACAACAACAACATAATATATAAACCGCAGCGTCTTGTTGGGCTGCACCGCGACAGTCAACCTTTGCTTGCTTGGATGACAGATAGGCTACCTAGCAACGCAAAGTCATTCGGTCTCTATCGCATCAGGTTAATAATTAAACCCTCCAACCGGGAAAGGGAAACAGACGCACAATAGGTTCACAACACCTTATATAACAACCTCCTCTTGCCCCGTTCATTTTGTTTTTCACATGCAAAATTACAACCACTCCACACAGACCGGAACACGAGGTCAGGGAGACCTGTCAAAGCAGAGTTGTGAATGACACAAACCCTGATCGATGCGTCTGCCCTACTTTTCGACGTGAATATATATATACATTACTCCCCCACCCCGAGGGGACATTAAAGTTTTTTTATCAATTTAAGAGGTCAGCCGGGTGCCGTCTAAGATGCGGCTCATGTCTCAGATGCGCGGATTTAGGAGACGGTGCGGTTCCGAGACAAAGCACGTGTGTCCAATGCAATAAACACATTTAGTGTCCCAAAAAAATCGGTGCTCGTTAGTTTTCGTGTCGTGACTCGAATGCAAAATCCCCTCAACACCTAACGCTATGTCTTTGATATTATTTAAACGTAAGATTTGATTTTAAAAAACAAAATACTTTTCACCTATATTTCTTCTTATTAATGTTCCTCCTAATCACGCCAGTCCTCCCGCGCACCCGTGATCTCCCCCCAGCTCCAGTACTACACGAACTTCAGACGCGATCGTTAAAGGTTGAACGTCTACGGGTAACAACAAAAACAAAAAACAAAAAAACAAAACAAAACTAAAGACGGAAATCGAGCGAGCGCGGCTGTCATGAGACAAGCCAACGGCAATAAAAAAAAAAGACTTATTTCAGCGGGCTGATCCCAGGGCCAGGGCGATGTGCTGCAGTGACCCAGTATTGCAGAATGCACGGTGCCCATGCTGCAGGCTCGTAGCGCGCACACACACACGCACGCACGCTAATGCACTGCTGTGCCGAGCGCGGCGGGATTGTGGGATTCGGCAGCGAGCCGCGCGCACGGAGCCAGGGGACAGCCAACATGGCGGCGGCCGCGAGCGCAGCGAGCCCCTTGCGGAAGTGAGGTAAGTCGAATTCTCGGGCTCTGGAAACGAAGCCGTTTCTTCGCGATTAAAGGACGCGCCCGGGTCGCGCCGCCGGGTGAAAAAAAACAAAACAAAAAAGTGGAACTTCAAGAAGAGGAAGAGGAGGAGGAGGAGGAGGGGGGGAGGTTCGGCCTGTCGGTTCCGAAGAAGGGGGTCCGGCGGATACGTGTGTATCGCTCTCGGGAAAGTTGGTGCGCCGAGCGGTCGCCTCTCTCTCCCCCCACGTCTCTCCTGCAGC